GACAGAAAGCGGGGGGGGGTTTTGTTTATTGGCTGCTTTCAACAGCAGCTGGAAACGTACGTTTTCCTCAACACCTGTGTCTGCTCTGAAAGCAGGACCACCTGCAGCTTCAACACCTGTGTCTGCTCTGAAAACAGACCACCTGCAGCTCCTCAAGGTGAGCCCGCCTCTAAGAACCAGACCTCTTTGGAAGTCTTCCAGTAACACCGTCAACTTGGTTTTGCAGGCGTCCTCACGCCGGGCCTACAGCTTCTCCCCAGACACAGCACAGGGTCGACATGGCACGAGGCGCAGCAACCTACCTGGAGGCCCATATGGCCCCGTCTCTCCTTTCTGGCCAGGAGCCCCGTCAAACCCGGGAATGCCTGGAGGTCCAGGTAAACCCGCAGATCCTGTCACACCTACAACAAAGAAAAATAACTCACCATGTGGCCCTGGAAGGCAGTGACCTGTGTCTCTTTTGTTCCTTATTAAAGGTCACTTTTAGTCTTTGGTGGACAAGCATAGATCTCTGATTGCGGATGAGAATTTCCTGGGTAGCCATGGGCTGCTTCCTGTGCAGACGCCACTGCCTGGCTGACACCCACACGGGTGAGCACCGAGCAGCTCAGCCCCGGTCTTCCTTGCCTGCTCACTGGTTTGCAGGAGGGCTTGGAAAAGGCAGGCTGAGCGGGGAGAGGAGGGAGGGGCCAGTCTTCCTCCCTGTCCACGTGCTGTCTCAATTCTTAGGCAATAGCTGTCTGTACTGACAGACATGGGACGGGTTTCTGTGTCCACGTGTTTGCTTCAGTCCTGGGAGGGTTGAAACCTCGTGCTCACTGATGCCGCTTTTCAACTCAAAATGCTTCATTCTCCTTTCCTTTCCACCCACCCCACACTAATAGCTCTTAAGACAGAAAATGTTTAGCTTAAATAGGCAGAAAGACCCAGGTTAGGGTTCCTGGGGCTGAGAGGGACTGGTCACCATCCCGGTCAGTCAGCCAGCACCTGGTTACCCTGCAGAACACAGGTGCACCGCCACACCTGGCTGTCCCTGGCTGGGAGGGGAGACGTTCCTGCACGTCCTGCCCCATGCTTCCAACTGGACACAGACACGTGTCCCTATATTTTGTTCTGGCTTTTTTAGGTCCCTTCCAAAGTTGCATTAGGCGCTAATACATATTCGAGAATGGTAAGAAAGTCATATTTGAATATATGTTTGTAAACCATTACCCAGGACTCCAATGTTAGACACAGGCGAAAGGGAACCTCCCTGCCCACTTCCCCAGGCCCCCACACTCCCAGAGCCAGCTGACTCTTACCTTGCTGTCCTTTGGGGCCTGGAGGCCCCTGGAGCCCTTTCAGACCAGGAGGACCCTCAGGGCCCGGAAGCCCTGGCTCCCCTTTGACGATATCGTAAGGGCCTGGGGGGCCAGGGAGACCCTGGAGACCTGTGGGAATCAAGATCCGTAGATCAGTCTCATGGTCAACAGCGTGGGGAAGAAAAGTTTCAGGAGAGCCCAATGTCAAGTGATCCCAGTGGAGCAAGTTTCTCAGAAGCAGAGTCGGCAAACCTTCAAACCCTGTTTCCTGTACACGTCTCCATTACTTAACCTATTGGAAAATCTTCCACTCGAGGACTGAAAATGCCGTCGGGTCATCAATATCAGCTTTCTGCTCGGTTCTGGAGTCCCGAGGACTTCATCCAGTCTTCGCAAGAACACCCCAATGGGGGAAAGTCATTCCTTCTGAGGGGACCCACATCTGACTTGGGTAGCTCTCAGGTGTGGTCAGGACAGTTTCTTACACCTGGTTCAAGTCCGCCCTACTGAGCCTAACCACTGGGCCTGCGTATGATGAGGAATGCATGTGCCTCTTCTCCTGCATAAGAGGTCTAGGAACGCACGAGGATAATGATGCATACGCCCCCCACCCACACTTCGTCGACCACAGTCTACACAGAAGTAAGAGAAAGAAAGAGCGCAGGTATATCATTCTGTTTATAGTGTACTCTCAGAATTGTTCTAGCTTATTCGTTATTGTTCATCTCTTTCCATTCATAATTTATAAATTAAACTTTATCATAAGTATTTATGTATAGGAAAAAACATACAATATGTAAGGGACTTCAAAACCTTATAAAAAAAGAATTGAAGTGTGAGTTTATTTTGGTGCAAAAAATAATTTGAAATCCATGCACAGTTTTCTCATAATAGGCATTTTCAGTGAATTTTCGAAGACCTCACTAGAGGGTCTGATGCTATCGGCAGTTTCAGGCATCCACTGGGGTCCTGGAATGTGTCCTTGTGACGAGTTGGGCTATGTGTGGAGCTGAGCGTGGCCTCAGCCTCCCCTACTCAGCCACACGTCCCGGCCTCTCTCCCTCCACACACATTCTTCCTGCTGCTTTTCCTCCCGGACCTTCCAGTTCTCAGTGCATGTGGTTTCTCGTTCTCTCTCAGAAAACATGGTTTTGAAAATTAAACACAGCTAGTCCCAGAAATGTCATTTCTAATTGGATCTGCCCAGGGTCAGCAGGACAGATGACACTAGGCCATTTCCTAGGGCATTTGGCATTTTTGGAGCCACGTGTGCTATGGGCTCTGCAGTGGAGCCAGCCAACAGCATTCCCTGCAAAGACCACTGTCGGGCCAGAGTGTTTTCAGTCTGAGCACGCAGGATCGCTCCTGTTCCCTGAGCTCACTTCACGTGGCCAGTCTCGCTCTAACATAGAGGCTGTGAGGGCCGTTGGACCTTGACTCTGTTGGTGGACATGTTACCATCTTGCCCTGCTGACTCACTCAAGCACAGATGCAACAAGACAGACCACTGTGAAATGACGCCGCAACTCCTGGCGCTTGAAAGGCCACACGCCCCCTCTGTGCGTGCTCAGCAGCTTTTGCTCTCCCCACGTTCAACGATGCCCAAGGTTAGCAGAGGAAGCCTCCTACCTTTAGGTCCAGGGAGGCCTTGGTCTCCTTGATCTCCTTTAACTCCCTGGAGGCCAGGAAGACCTTTCTGACCTAGACGAAAGGGGAACATCGTCTTTGCACAGGGTTGGCAATGATATGCAAATATGTACGTGCACACACATGCGCACAACACACACACATGCACAAACATAGGTGTATGCACACACATATGTGCATGTGTGACATACGCACATGTACGTATATGTGTGTGAATACATGTGTGTGCATACATGCACACACACATGCATGCACACATTCAGACAATAAGCACATTGCCAGTATATCCCCAAGAAAGAAAAGAACATGTTTCTGGCGGCTGTGGAGCACATCTGATGAAATTCTCCTCTCAGGCCCTAGCAATCACATTTCTATGAGCAGTAACAAACCGAAATGCTCACAACCAGCCAAAGGACACATGGCACTGTTTTGGTCTCAATCAGATTCACGTGTCCCCAAGTAGACCCTAAGACACCTGGAGGCTGAGAACTTGCTTTATTCACCTTTAACATATTTCTGACTCAGCAGCAAAACTCACAGTATCTAGAAGCCCAGGAAATGTTTAACACATTAATAAACTAATGAGTGGCCCAAACCTATAACCTTTTATTAAGATGTAAGCGGCTGGGGAACCAGCAGTTAGCGTAATGGCTATGTCGCTGGACTCCCACGTAGTCGACTGCAGTTCACGTCCCGGACCCGGTGGCTTAAAACTCACGCCGGGCGCATGTGCATGCGTGCCCAAGATCCCGAGAGGAGAATGGAGGAGAAGGGATTGCGGCGTGACCATCCCCCCTGGGGGGTGATTTCTCGCTTTCTGTCTCTATGTCTCTGTCTGTCTGGCGAGCGCACACGCCCTACAGTGAAAATCTCTCCAAAAAAAAAAAAAAAAGATGTAAGCAGCTGAACTGTAAATGATCCACTAACCCTTAATAAGAAACTCAGAATGCATTCATATGGCCGTTCACAGCATTGCGCAGTGGGGCTGCCCCGGAGAACTGGCACTCCCAGCTAGAAGGGACACCGTCTCAGGCTGTAAGTCTCGGGTGCCGCCAACCTCAGCATGCCTGGGCTAGGAGGCTCTGCTGAAGTGCAACGGCTAGGCAGTAGGCCTTCGATGTCTTACCTTGAAATCCTGGAACACCCGGAGGTCCCATATCACCCTTCGAACCTGTGACTCCCGGAGAGCCACCAATGCCCTAGACACAAAGAGAGTATCATTTGGGGATTGCTCAGAACGCACGGGAGAGGTCTCGGAAGTAAACTGGTCATGAATGCTGAGAAAGCCCCGCGATGTTCCGCAAAGCACATTCGTGAACTAATGGTGCTTAAATGACGTAACAGGCATGGCAGACCCCTGTGGGTGCCTGAACTAGAAGTCTGAATGTGGGACTGACTCGTACATTCCCTGTGCCCTCTCTGCTTATTCATCTACAAGTTCCTTGGAGCCAGCAAAAGTTCCACCTCCACCATCTCCACCTCGTAGCACGATGCCGTGGACGGAATCCGCGCTCCACAAACACTTGTCGTGGTAGCACGTTTAGCTAGCAATACCAAACTACCTTCTTACTGAAAACATCCCCTAAACACTCAAGCATGACTTTTCTCTAGAATTAGCTTCAGATCTCATCTGAAAACTGGTTTTAAATCGGAAAAGTTAAAAAGAAGAAAGGACTACTTTCCTTTATAATACAGCAATATTCACGTATTTAAAAAATATTAGCTCATTTATTTTGTTATTTAAATATACAGTTCCTCTCTCTAGTCATGGATAGAAAGATGCAATTTTTTTTATTCTTACATAAGTTTGTTTCTTTGCTTTATTTTGAAAAGGGCCATCACCGAAGTAACATGCACAAATGCACATCTATGTAAGTATGTACACAGATCTTTATACATACATGTGCATGGAGAGCGACAGACAGACACTGACTAGCACCAGGAAGGGGGGATCTATTTCAGCGTCACCAGGGAATTAAAGCAGGGGGATGTGAATGGCTCACATTGAGTTGCATAGCAGCGAGACGCTGAAAACACATGCACATACACATTTGGTGACGTGTGCACAGAGCTCTGAGGATAGGCAGCGGGGAAAGAGATTGCTCTGTGCAGCCCACTCTGCGTAATTATTCAAAGGCAGAACACAAGTTACAGATTCAGAAGCCAGATGCATTACTTAATTTTCAGTGCCTAGAAAGCTGGGATCAGTTCCGCCATATGAGTCCTTAAGACTGTCCCTAATGACTCTCAAGCATGTCTCTGCCTCTGATGAGCAGTTGAGCAGTTCCTAGCTATCCCTGCAGAAAACAGCCCCACGTTGGCTTAGAAAAGTATTCCACTGGCCTGCCTGAACTCTCTCCTGTTTCCAGTCTCCATTCAGAGAGACAGAGACAGAGAGAGACAGACACAGAGACAGAGAAGGAATCTCTTTAATAACGTTGATGAGACTCACAAACAGAGCCCCTTAGCATGGAGGTATGTGAGCTAAGAGTGATCTCAGCGATCCAAGACCACCAGTTTACTTAAGAGGGACTGCATATTTAGGCACTACAGGGGAACAAATTTAAATAGTACCAACACATGCACATGTGTGTGCACGCACACGCACACACACGACTGTTCACTCATCGCACCCCCAGGTGTACCCTCTGAAGGCATCCCAGTGCCACTTATGCTGCCATCATCTGCTCCCTGGCCATGGCCCAGCCCTGCTGCCACCCCCGAGCATGTCCAACCTCCTTGCACAGACAGGCCTTTACGAATGCGGCCTTGCATTTTGTCTTGCAATTGTGAATAGACTTTAGACTTGGCCACTGGCTTGTGTCTAGCAATAGAAATTTTCCTTTTTAATGCTTCCTGTAGTACTAGATTGTAAAAATGATGCCCTAATAGTTCGCTACTCTGATGTCAGCAAAGACACTGGCTATTAGCAAGAGAAAAGGAACTCATTTTGACAGGACTTGGGGTGCACACAGAAACAGATATGAATGATTTTGTGAGCAGAAAAGACTCCGGGAAGGAAAAAAAAAACACAAATGAGCAACTCACGGGCATGCCCTGGAATCCTGGGTCACCCTTGGACCCTGGAACGCCGGGTGCTCCTGGCCAGCCTGGATTTCCTTTGTCACCTTTCAGTCCATCCAATCCAGGGAGCCCTGGAGGCCCCATGGGTCCCGGAAGTCCTAAGGGAGAGAGAAAAGTCACACATTAGTGTGGGAGGGTGATGCCAGAGACATGTCACTGGGCAGTGGGGCTGTCATGACTGATCCCCTGCGGCCGGCAGCTGCACCTGCCATACTGAGCTGCCTGAGCCCCTGAGAAAGCATGGCAGGCCCTTGGAGGAAGGATGCTCACACACAGCACGGTCAGTGTCAAGTGCTGCCTGTCCCCACCGCTGGGCCATGCTGCCCTGCAATCTCCAGGCAGGTGGGAGGTGCTGCCTGTCCCCACCCCGCGGGCCGTACTGCCCTTCAATGTCGGGCAGGTGGGAGGTGCTGCCTGTCCCCGCCCCCCGGGCCGCGCTGCCCTGCAATGTCTGGGCAGGTGGGAGGTGCTGCACATTGTGTGATGTGAGACCAGCACTGGACGGCACGCCCGCCCCTTCTCGTCCACCTCCCCTTTCCTGCATGTGCTCGCTGCTCCACAGAAAGGATGCAGGGAAAGCTCTGGCCCTGCAGAGGTCAGTTTCAAGCTGGAATGAACGCCGCAGCCTCTTAGAGGCCAAGCAGCCCCAGCTCCTCCTTTCAGTTACGCTCACATAGACCTCGTAAAGTCTACCGCAGTCTTTGGCTCTGACCCCGGGTGGCACACTCTTACCTGGCAGGCCAGGCTGTCCCTGTGGCCCTCGGTCTCCTTTGGGCCCCTCCACAGGACGGCCTGGGGCTCCGGGCAATCCTGGCTGTCCTTGAGGCCCCGGAGGACCTGAGAAGCCTGGCTCTCCTTTGGG